GGTAGAGGCTGAGGTGGCTGGGAGCGGCCACTGCACTCCAGTCTGAGTGACAGAGTGAAACTCCAACTCAAAAAAAAAAAAAAAAAAAAAAATGCAGGTACCTGGCAAAGGAGGAGAAACCAGACAGAAGAAGATGGAGAGGACCTGCGAGGTTTCATAGATCTGAAAGGGGATCGAAGGTGGAGACTTGCCAGTGATGTAAGAGAAAGCTTTGCAGAGAGTGGGGAGTGGAGACTCAGTTGATACTTGCTGAGTCAATAGGTATATATATATATATGAATGAGGAGAATAAAAAAAACCTGCAATTACTTTTGGAGAGTAGCCCCTTGTAGTACAGGCTTCCCTAGCTAGGTACACTACATCAGTGTACCAGCTGTCGCTGTTGTGAGAGGCTGCATTCAGCTTCAATGAATTTTTTTTGAGATTCTTTCAATGTGTTGGCCATTTCATGATGTGTAATTTACCAGAGTACCTGCCCACATTACAGTTTTTTTGTTTTGTTTTGTTTTTGAGTTGTAGTCTCACTCTGTCACCCAGACTGGAGGGCAGTTACCACTCCCAGCCACCATAGCCTCGACCTGCCGGGCTCCTTCGATCCTTCCACCTCAGCCTTCCAAGTACCTGGAACTACAGACGTGCTTTACCACACCCGGCTGATTTTTGATTTATTGTAGAGATGAGGTCTCGTCAAGTTGCCCATGCGGGTCTCGAACCCGTGGGCTCAGGCAATCCGCTCACCTCAGTACAGTTTTTTTGCTTGTTTTTTGTTTTTACCAAAAGTAAAAAATGGCATGACTTCTATGTCCCACCCTCCCTATTCATCCGATCTCACCACAAGAGACTTTTTTCTTTTGTTTCCCTGGATAAAAACATGCTCAAAGGGAACAATTTTGCCAATGTGGTAGAGGTGAGACAAAAAACAGTAGAAGCACTAAAAGTTGTCAAAATCGATGAGTTCAAAAACTGTTTTGAGCAGTGGATAAAGCATATCAATAGGTGTATATATTTATAAATATATACATTTATAAATAAATTCTGGCCTGGCACGGTGGCTCAGGCCTGTAATCCCAGCACTTTGGGAGGCCGAGATGAGAGGATTGCCTGAACCCAGGGGTTCAAGACCAGCCTGGGCAACTTGGGGAGACTTTGTCTTCACAATAAACCAAAATATTAGCTGAGCGTGGTGATGTGTGCTTGTAGTTCTGGATACTTGGAAGGCTGAGGAGGAAGGATCACTTGAGCCCAGCAGGTCAAGGCTGCAGTGCTGTGGGCATGCCACTGCACTCCAGTCTGGGTGACAGAGTGAGACTCCAACTCAAAAAAAAAA